TTGAAGCGATTTAAATATTTTTTATTAAAGTATATTGTTTAAATTTAACAAATTTTCTGATCTCTCTTTACTCACGTGTTTGCACCTGACCGTTGTTACAGATAATAGAAAGATTTAAAGGAAATTGAGAGGGATATTAATTATCTGTTCATGAACAATTTCTTTCTATAAAGAAGAACACTGAATGACAAAAGTTAAAGGGGTTGATATACCCTTTGGATTGTGTCAAACTGAATTTGATTGATCTCCGTGTATGTTTTAAAATGGATTTAAAGACGGAGAAAAATCACTGATCAAGTTTTAATTTCTTTTATTAATATATATATATATATATATATATATATATATATATATATATATATAAAGAAAATCAATAAATTAGTCAAATCCTGAATAAAATAATATTATTGTTTCATATAAAAATAATTATTAAAAGGAGTAATTTTATTAAATGTCAATTAATTAATTTTAAAACAATTATTTAATATTAATTAATATTCTATTTTTTGTTTAGCAATTATTAATAAGCAAATAAATTATTCAGATACAATGGTTTTATTAAACTTTTTTTACAGAAAAAAAAATTGATTCAAAAATAAAATTGTTAAAATTCGCAATTTATTATGTGATAATAAAAAAAATTCAATTTTTCACATATTGAGATGGAAACAATATGGCGAAATTTATATTTTATACTCACGTTATTCCATTTTTCTTCGTATTTGTTATGTAAAAATATTCATTATGAGAATAATAATCGAATAAAGGTCCTCGTCTGTTTACATTATTTTGATCTAGTCGCCCATATAAATGATCTGCCATAATTTTTAAAAAACACAAAAACTTGCAAACGAAAAATACACCAAGAAAAAGATTTTTCACATTTAACAAAAAAATCTCATCACCAGGAAAGAAGAAGCCATAATTTTTGATTTTCATTTTTTTTTCAATATATATATATATATATATATATTGCATAAAACAAAATAGAACTGCACTATATATATATATAGGTATATATGAGTATACGCATGTATATCAGAGCCTTGCTCAACAAATATACATGTGTCAAGGTAGGTCGTTCACACGTTTGCTTTCACTTGTTAATCTTACCTGACGTCACACCTAAGGGCCAACGCACAATGACTTCCGAACGATATTCATGGGGAGATTCATGCGTGTGAGAAAGTATGCAGTGTCCTTCTTTTTCCGTCCGAAAAAAAAGACACTGCATACTTCCCAAGTATAAGGCAATTCAATTTGTGACGTTGCGTGACGTCACAAATTGAATTGATTTATTGAAATTTTTACGCTTTTCACCGTAGGGTCAATACGTCAAACAGGCAAAATGTTGAAAAACCAATACGTCCAACTGATAAAATTTCAAAAAGGCAATACATCGAACAGACAAAATGTCGAAATGCCAAGAAGGCGAACGGTCAAAATGACGAAATGTCAATACGTCAAACGATCAAAATGTCGGAAAGCCAAGAAGTCGAACATTTAATACATCGAACGGACAAAATATCGAAAAGCCAAGACATCGAACAGCCAATACGTCGAACTGACAAAATGTCGAAAAATTTTATTGACTTAAGTAGAATTATAATTATTTCAATAAAATTTTTCGACATTTTGTCAGTTCGACGTATTGGCTGTTCGATGTCTTGGCTTTTCGATATTTTGTCCGTTCGATGTATTAAATGTTCGACTTCTTGACTTTCCGACATTTTGATCGTTTGACGTATTGACATTTCGTCATTTTGACCGTTCGCCTTCTTGGCATTTCGACATTTTGTCTGTTCGATGTATTGCCTTTTTGACATTTTGTCTGTTCGACGTATTTTAAAAAATTAATAAAAACTAAATATTTGATTTTATTATTTTAAAAAATAGATCTCGATAAATAAAAAATATTTTACAATTACACTTGGGCTCAAAAATTAATAATTAAAAAATTATGATAAAAAATCTGATTCGCTTTATTAACTTCAATGTATTGCATGTCTTCCGACGAGCCACCATTTTGAAGAGTGACGTTGCGCTACGTCACAAATTGAAGTGCCTTATTGAAATTTTTAGCGCATTTTTGTTATAGTGATACGCATATGCTTTTCACCGTACGGTCAATACGTCAAACAGGCAAAATGTTGAAAAGCCAATACGTCCAACTGATAAAATGTCAAAAAGGCAATACATCGAACAGACAAAATGGCGAAAAGCCATAACCTCGAAAAGCCAAGACGGCGAACGGTCAAAATGACGAAAAGTCAATACGTCGAACGTTCAAAATGTCGGAAAGCCAAGAAGTCGAACATTTAATACATCGAACGGACAAAATATCGAAAAGCCAAGACATCGAACAGCCAATACGTCGAACTGACAAAATGTCGAAAAATTTTATTGACTTAAGTAGAATTATAATTATTTCAATAAAATTTTTCGACATTTTGTCAGTTCGACGTATTGGCTGTTCGATGTCTTGGCTTTTCGATATTTTGTCCGTTCGATGTATTAAATGTTCGACTTTTTGACTTTCCGACATTTTGATCGTTTGACGTATTGACATTTCGTCATTTTGACCGTTCGCCTTCTTGGCATTTCGACATTTTGTCTGTTCGATGTATTGCCTTTTTGACATTTTGTCTGTTCGACGTATTTTAAAAAATTAATAAAAACTAAATTTTTGATTTTATTATTTTAAAAAATAGATCTCGATAAATAAAAAATATTTTACAATTACACTTGGGCTCAAAAATTAATAATTAAAAAATTATGATAAAAAATCTGATTCGCTTTATTAACTTCAATGTATTGCATGTCTTCCGACGAGCCACCATTTTGAAGAGTGACGTTGCGCTACGTCACAAATTGAAGTGCCTTATTGAAATTTTTAGCGCATTTTTGTTATAGTGATACGCATATGCTTTTCACCGTACGGTCAATACGTCAAACAGGCAAAATGTTGAAAAGCCAATACGTCCAACTGATAAAATGTCAAAAAGGCAATACATCGAACAGACAAAATGGCGAAAAGCCATAACCTCGAAAAGCCAAGACGGCGAACGGTCAAAATGACGAAAAGTCAATACGTCGAACGTTCAAAATGTCGGAAAGCCAAGAAGTCGAACATTTAATACATCGAACGGACAAAATATCGAAAAGCCAAGACATCGAACAGCCAATACGTCGAACTGACAAAATGTCGAAAAATTTTATTGACTTAAGTAGAATTATAATTATTTCAATAAAATTTTTCGACATTTTGTCAGTTCGACGTATTGGCTTTTCGATGTCTTGGCTTTTCGATGTCTTGGCTTTTCGATGTCTTGGCTTTTCGATATTTTGTCCGTTCGATGTATTAAATGTTCGACTTCTTGGCACAAAAATTTTAAGCCCAATTAAATATCTTCTAAAATACTATGTATTTTTAAATCGAAAAAAACAAAATAACTGCAATATAAAACATAAATAAAATACTTAATACAAATAAAAAAACAACCACTATTATGAATTGTCAAAACCTTTCAAAACACAATAGCATAAATATTAGGCTAATTTTGGTTATGGAAAAAATGCAAGAAAGAAATTTATGATTACTTTCTGTAATTTTTCTACTATTTTTTATATTCATCTCTTTATTTCATCTATCATAATGTCCAATAAACTCCAACATTATTTTGAAATAGACCGCCATGCGCAAACGGTCACTGCGCATGCAGAAGTTGTCATGGCAACGTGCAGGAGTAATAGAGATAGTAAATTCAAATTTGAATTTTCTCTCTCTATTACTCATAGGGTTGTAAAGTTTCATGAAATTTTCGTTGAATGAAAGTTTCATGAAAGTTTCAATGCTTCATGAAACGTTTCAAAGTTTCAAAGAAAGAGGCGGGAATATTTAAATTATATATAATAAATCCTTATTAATACACGGAGAAAAATGGAAAAACGAATAAAGTAACTTTTACTACTTTAAAAGTAAAATTGGACCTGTCCGAAGTTTCTGCGCATCTCTGGCAACTTTTACTCGAAAAATAGTAAAATTGACTATTTCTGTAGTAAATTTTACTGTTTCCGTAGTAATTTTTACTATTTCTGAAGTAAATTTTACTATTTTTGGAGTAAAAGTTGTCAGAGATGCGCAGAAACTTCGGACAGGTCCAATTTTACTTTTAAAGTAGTAAAAGTTACTTTTTCTTTTTTTCCGTGTAATAATATTAATTAATTTAACGACTGGAAATATTTAAATATTAAATATAATATATTAAATATTTTTTGGTCATATTTGATTTATTACTATATTAGAATTTTGTCTTCGTTTCGAACTGGAATCTGTTCATTTTCAAAGCTATAAATATTTCATACAAAATACGACATTAAATAATTTTTCAATCAAAACAGTTTAAATAAATATAATAAATATCTCTCTCGACAATCATAATACATAAAAATAGCATACAAACGATTACTTGAAAATTAAAACAGATATTTATTATATTTAAATTGTTTTAATTGAAAAATTATTTAATGTGATATTTTGTTTAAATTTTTAGCTCTGAAGATGAACTGGTTTCAGTTCGAAACATAGGCAAAATTATGATATAATAATAAAATGTAAAACATTTTATTATTATAATTAACTTTTCACAAGTTTATTTTTTGACCTAACCTAAAATATTTATTACGTTATTGCGCATGTGCACATGAAGGCTTACTATTGGTTCTCCAATGTTTAATGAAACTAATGAAATTTTCGTCGACTCACAACCCTAATTACTCACTCATTACTCCTACACGTTGCCATGACAACTTCTGCAGGCAGGCAGGCAGCCAAAAAGGTGTGAGTGCGCCCTTAAGAGAACCCCCCACTAAAATTGTCTTATGAGAGGTTTCGCTGAAAACAAATTTAAATCTACTGACTCTTTGATTGGCTGAGGCGGAATGTATGCGCAAGCGCCTTATCGTTACATATCTGCGATACTTATGTAATTTGAATAAAATCTTAAAATAAAATGCTGCGTTCAAACTATTATTATTATTCTAATTGTTAGTTAATTATTTATTTAAAGTTGTCGTTCTATTTGCTACTCGTTAAATTTTTGCTTGTTCGCAAATAATTATTTTCCTGATAAGCCTGAAGTTTTGTATTTATTTATTTTATATAATCACGAAATAACCAGAATATTTTTAAATACTGAAAAAATGATAGAAAGGAGAAAAATGGTCTAATCTTAAATCATTTTTTTCACCTTTAATTATATTTGTGTTGTATTAAAAAATTATGCATTTCTTTTATCTTAACTGTATTGTAAATTGAAATAACCTACAATTTTTTATTTCAAAAAATTTATATTTTATAATGATGGACAACCTAAAAAGTATTATAACTTTTATAAAGTGGAATTAATAAATTGATACTAATTCAATAGATTGTACGACTTTTTCGACTTTTTTTCAATCAATGCGACTTTTTTCGGATATAATTTAAGATTTATTTCGGTTATTATAATGTAAAAAATAAATTATCGATTATTTATTGAATTTTCATATGCTAAACAAGTACATAAACAAAAAAATTAGTTTTGATTTAAAAATTTATTTTTGCATTAGATTCCCGTTTAAAATTTTTATAAGTTAAAATATTGAAAATTCTTCTAAATTAAAAATTATTTTCATTACTTGACTGAAAAATTTCCTAAGAATATATATACATATATCACCAGGAGAGAAGCCATAATTTTTGATTTTCAATTTTTTTAAATATATATATATATATATATATATATATCACCAGGAGAGAAGCCATAATTTTTGATATTCAATTTTTTTAAATATATATATATATATATATATATATATATATATATATATATATCGATCGTTCACGTCTCACTTGTTTTACGGTCTATCATTTCGAGTACTCATCATTTCTTTACAAATTAATCCAGTCATTTTTTAATTTCTCAATTAGTGTCGATTTTTTCACGGTCTTTTGATTTTACGCTGAAAGTGAAGAGGTTTATTAATTTGATCTGACTTCACACCTAAGGGTCATCGCACAATCGTTGTAAGAATCAAATATTTGAATTATTTAATTAAAGAAAATTTCAAATTTCTCAATGACTATTAAAAAAAGTTCTCTGTAAAAAGAAGTTTATTAAATAATTATTGAATTAATTAGTTGATTAATTTTTTTTACAAAGAAAAGAAGTCCAAAAAATTATTTCTAGTCTCGAAGAAATGGTTACGAGGAGAAAATAATTTTTTTTACAATTTTTGTCTTTAAAAAAAGAATTTATTAACTATTACTGAATTAATGAGTTAATTCATTTTTTTCCACAGAGAAAATAAATCAAAACGATTATTTCTATTCCCAAAAAAAATTGTTCAGAGGAGGAAATAATTTGTTTTTCAATTATTCATCGTAAAAAATTAATTACTTTCTACAGAAGAAATAAATAAAAAAAATTAATTCTAGCCCAAAAAAAATTGTTGTGAGTAGGAAATAATTTTTTTGACAATTTTTCTCTGTAAAAAAATTTTTATTAACTAATTATTAAATTAATTAGTTGATTAATTTTTTTACACAGAAAAAATGCAAAAAAAAGTTGATCTTTATCGCAACAATTTTTTTGGGGCTAGAAATAATTCTTTTTACTTACTATCACTGTAAAAAAATTAATTCAATAATTAGTTAATAAACTTTTTTTTATTGAGAAAAATTATCAAAAAAAGTATTTCTTCCTCGCAACAATTTTTTTGGGCTAAAAATAAATTTTGTTAACTTATTTTTTCTGTAGAAAAAAATTAATCCGCTATATTAATTCAATAATTAGTTGATTAATTTTTTTACAGAGAAAATATGCAAAAATAATTATTTCCTCATCGCAACATTTTTTTTGTGCTAGAAATAATTTTTTTGACTAACTTTCATGGTAAAAGAAAATTAATTACCTAATGAATTGTATAACTAAGTAATTAATTCTTTTTTTACTTTAAAAAATTGCAAAAAAAGAGACCCGTGAATAAGCTCTAAATCAAATTTATTAGAAGTTACATTTGATTGAATTTTAATCAGCAGATTATTAATTTGCCAGAAAGTCAATTTCATTGAATTTTCATAGGTCAGAAAATCAATTTGATCTAATTTTAATTTGACAGAAATTCAGTTTATTTGAATTTTAATTTGACAGAAATTAAATTTCACCGAATTTAAATTTTCCCGAAACGTTGTTTTATAGAATATTAATAGTATAGAAAAACAATTTGACAGAAATTTATTTTACCAGAATGTATATTTTTCGAATATTAAGTTCCCAGAAAGTTAATTTGACCGAAAATTATTTTGGCAGAATTCAAATTTGATCGAATTTTAATTTGCCAGAAAGTCAATTTCATCGAAGTGTTATTTTTCAGAAAAACAATTTGATCGAAATTTAATTTGTGCAAAACCTCTTTTTCATAGAATTTTAATTTATCAAAAAAGTAATTTAATAGAATCCTAGTATGATTATACGAGTGTTACGTTTGCAGCACATTTTTGATTCTTCAAAAAAAAATTTGGTATCGTTTTCTTAAATAAATTTTCGATCATTTAGTCATCAGAAATGACTATTTTCCGGTTTCTGGGTCAGAAATTTGTAGGCGTGTGTAATTTTTATTAAATACATAATGACCGAATTCATGTCAAATCATGCAGGCAGTCCGATGATATATTGCGAATTAATTTCAGAATGAAGTATATTATTCTACTTGAAAAATAAAGAAATACGTGTTTTTTTATATTTTGATTCGATTTTGTGTGTAGTTTTTACGACTTTTTAAAGATTTTTTCAAGAAAATTAATTTTTTTGTATTTTTCGCTTTAAAAAAACATAACTTTCGTAATTTTTAAACTTTTTTGTTGCTCCTGGGCTTATTTTTTTCATTATTTTTACTATTTAAAAAAAATTGATCCGAATGAAAAATATTAAAAAACAAGGATAAAAATGGAATTTTTCGAAAAAACAAAAAAAAATTTTTTCTCAAAAATGCCACTTTTTTTTCGCCTCAAATTTTCAGGATTTATTGGTAAACATATGTACTACTTACCATAAAAATTTCACTTGGTATTTTTTTGTTTCTTAGGAGAAAAAAAATATTTTCATTTTTTTGATTAAAAACTCTAAAAATCATGAAATTTAAAAGCTTTCTAACTGCTCGTTGATTCATTTTTTTACTTTTCAACATTATTTTCGAAAATTGCGCAAAAAATAAAAAATGATAATAATTTGCAAGAAAAATAACTTTGTTTTAGGAAAAAAAAAAAAAAGATTTCAAATATTTTTTTTTTCAAAATTACTTTTTAGATTTTTTATGTGTTGATCAATTCTAAAAGCAATATTTAGAAAATAACACAATTTCAACAATCCAATCAATCAATCGAATTAGGCAACGATAATTTCTCATTATAAAGAATATTCATATTCTTTGTCATGAGAAATTATCATATTCATATTCTTATTATGAGAAATTATTGTTGCCTAATTCGATTGATTGATTGGATTGTTGAAATTGTTTTTTTTTTCTAAATATTGCTTTTAGAATTGATCAATACATAAAAAATCTAAAAAGTAATTTTGAAAAAAAAAAATATTTGAAATCTTTTTTTTTGTTTTTTTCTAAAACAAAGTTATTTTTCTTGCAAATTATTATCATTTTTTATTTTTTGCGCAATTTTCGAAAATAATGTTGAAAAGTAAAAAAATGAATCAAGGAGCAGTTAGAAACCTTTTAAATTTCATGATTTTTAGAGTTTTTAATCAAAAAAATGAAAATATTTTTTTCTCCTAAGAAACAAAAAAATACCAAGTGAAATTTTTATGGTATGTAGTACATATGTGTACTAATAAATCCTGAAAATTTGAGGCGAAAAAAAGTGGCATTTTTGAGAAAAAAATTTTTTTTTTGTTTTTTCGAAAAATTCCATTTTTATCCTTGTTTTTTAATATTTTTCATTCGGAGCAATTTTTTTTAAAGAGTAAAAAAAATGAAAAAAATAAGCCCAGGAGCAACAAAAAGGTTAAAAATTACGAAAGTTATGCTTTTTTTAAGCGAAAAATACAAAAAAATTAATTTTCTTGAAAAAATCTTTAAAAAGTCGTAAAAACTACACACAAAATCGAATCAAAATATAAAAAAACACGTATTTCTTTATTTTTCAAGTAGAATAATATACTTCATTCTGAAATTAATTCGCAATATATCATTGGACTGCCTGCATGATTTGACATGGATTCGGTCTAATAGTAAAAATAAAAATAAATAAAAAGTAATAAATAATAAAAAATTAATAAATAATTGAATTAATCACACGGTCGCCTTACTTAAAATATGAAACTTGAATTGAACAATTTGATCGAATTTTACTTTTACAGAAAGTCAATTTCATCGAATTTTAATTTGGCAGAAAAACAATTTGATCGAAATTTAATTTGTGCGAAACGTTTTTTCATGGAATTTTAATTTAGCAGAAAGGTAATTTAATAGAACCCTAATATAGAAGAATCAATTGTTTCTGGCAAATTAATGTTCGAACAAATATACTTTCTGGTGATTTTCTGCCAAAAATTAAAACTCGATTAAATTGACTTTCTGGCAAATTAATATTCTGCTGATTAAAATTCTATGAAATATAACTTTTAACAAATTTGTTTTAGAGCTTATTCATGCTTCCCTTTAATTATATACACTTTTTCAATAATTCGGTTTGCTATAATTTAATCATCATTATCAATTTAATTATTATATTTATTTCATTACATATTTTTGTAGACATATAAAACTCAACAAAAGTTGAAGAAAAATGGAAAACCCATACTTGAATTTAAAAATATTTCAAGACCACATTTGGGACGGATATCGCTACATAATAAATTCTGTCAAAAATAATACAACGTAAGTAAAATTGATATTTTGTGAAATAGAAAGTAATTTATTTCCTCCTCTTTCCCTATTTTAAAAATTTATCTTAATCAAACAATGGCTCTTATATCTCAGCAAACGAAAAAGAATTCAAAATATTATATCAAATACGAGAATGGCCTGAGTTAATCCCGCTTTGCGATAAATACAAATTGGACTTGTTTTGGAATTCACGCTTGATTTTGTCTGAAGCGTATTGAAATTTTGAACGTTCTATTCGTATATTAATTCTGTTAACAAAGTTAAAGAGATTTAATCTTTTTCAATTCGTTAAAGCGAATTGGAACCAATTCTCGTTACTTCTATTCCATTCGTGAAGTGGGAATCAACCTTTTATTTATCTAAATACTTGCATTTAAAAAATTTTTTTCTTTAAACATTGAAATACTTAAATTATTTATATTTAATTTAATACGTATTTATCTTATATATTAAGGTGTTTCGTGAATAAAAATCATCTTTGGTCTCCGGAATAGCTGGAAACTAGGTAAACGCGGGGCCAACCAAAGTCCCACGTAAGCCTTTTTGGTCGCCGGCAATTCAATATTATTAAAAATGTAAAATTTCTTATTTTAAAATGCTTAAAATTCTTATACAAAATAAAGTAAGATAATATTCACTGAGTTATTTAGAATTTTAATGTGAGACCTGGGGACGTATGAATATTTCCTGAATTAGACTTGCTGAAATTTTCTTGTATAGTTGAATTAAAAATTATAGAATTTACGTTTAGTAGAATTTTAAAAAACTAGATTTTATAATGAGCACAATTTTAATATCGAAAGTATAGACATTTTTTTAATAAAACTTTTGTTAAAAAAAAATTTTTTATATAGATAAAAGAACAGTTCTGATAAAAAAATTCTTTTTCATGAAAATTTTTCTGCATATAAATTTTGTTAAATGGAAATTGTATTATTTGAAAACTTGATATATTAGAAAATATGCTTTATTAAAGTTCAGTTAAATAGAAACTCTACAAAATCATAATTAACAATAAATAATTAATCGCATGCCGAATTAATTAAAATATTACTAAAATAGTATATTGTTTAAAAATAATCGAATTGCGAAATTTTTAAAAATTTTGTAGTTAAAAAAAATTTGCATTATCAGCATCGTTACTTAAGGTCATGTTATTCAGTGTGACGTATTCCCATAGAAAACTATTTAAATTGACAAAATTATTAATTGATATCATTAATGTTCATAAAAATATACGATAAAAATAAAAAATCCAAGAATGAGTTATGAATTATTTTTTTTTTAATTTATTAATATTATATGAGGATCAGAAAACGGAATAAATACTAATTCGCGAGAAGGCAATTTATTTCTATTCATCAAAATTCGTTTTCATTTGCTGGGATTCAATAAACTAAGTAATTAAGTTAAAATTAACTAAGTGTGATTAAGTTGCTCAAACACACATTGGGTTTATTCAATCGAATTGATTCTTTATTCAAAATATTGGCTTACGCATATACATAAAGTTTTGAAAACTGAAGTTTCTTTAAATTAATTTTTTGATTCTTTGTGGAGTATTTTTAAAACTTGTATATATTTTTAGATATTATGAATGTATTCATTACAAGGCAGGTACTTGCCCTGCTCGTGGAATAGAGAAGAATGGCACTTTTAATTTAAAAAAAGAATATACGCACGAAAAAAATGAGGGTGAAATTGAAGAGCGTAAATTTAAGCAGGAGTTATGTAAACGTGCCATGACAGAAAATTTAACTCCTAAACAAATTTATGATTCTTCACGTTTAAGGTAATATTTCTTGTTTATTAAACAAACTTGGTACATATTTTTTCAAGAAGTTTTATAATTTCATTATAATAATAACAATTCATAGTTTTAAACACAATTTTTACTCCAAAGAAATCTCCCAGATAGCACGTAATCTTGCAGCAACCGCGCAATATTGCCAACCTTGCGCGGCAATATTGCTGCAAGGTTGCTGCAAGCTTAAAATGTCCCAGCTGACCAAAGCTTGCATGGTAAGCTTGCGGCAAGATTGCCGTGCAAGGTTACTACAAGATTGTTCAATAAGTTTATCGCAATATTGCTCGGTAAGCTTGTGGCAAGGTTGCTTGGCAATTTTATGGCAAGCTTGGAGCAAGCTTGCGGAATTTAAATAAAAAAAATTTTTTGAAGGGAAGAAATTTAATTCTGTATATACATTGAGCACCAGTTTCTGGGAGGTCGAAAAAATTTATTGCGCAGCCGTAAGTGCTTGTGATTGCAAGTGCGCATAGTGCTCATTTTCGTAAACCTAAAAAAATTTTTTGTTAATATTCCGCAAGCTTGCACCAAGCTTGCCATAAGATTGCCAAGCAACTTTGCCACAAGCTTACCGAGCAATATTGCGATAATCTTATTGAACAATCTTGCAGTAACCTTGCACGGCAATTTTGCCGCAAGCTTACCATGCAAGCTTGGGTCAGGTGGGACATTTTAAGCTCGCAGCAACCTTGCGGAAATATTGCCGTGCAAGGTTGGCAATATTACGCGGCAAGCTTGCCGCAAGGTTGCTGTAAGATTACGTGCTATCTGGGCTTGTTTACAAAAATATTTATTTATTAGAATTCTTATTAAATAGAATTTCGTATGAGTCGTATTTTTATATGACAGAATTTTCATTAAACTAAATCTTCATTAATTTTTTTAACTTTTTTTACCCGACAAAATAAATTTGAACACAATATGTAGAAAACCGCTCGAGATGGGACGCATGATTATGTTCTAAAAGTTATTAGTCATAATTTACATTTTATCGAATTTTATTTGTCCTAATTAGTTTTGGTGCCGAATTTTTATTTGTTCGAAATAGTATTTTGCATAATTTTCATCGAAAGCGATTTTCTATATTACAGAATTTTTATATAACCGAAAATTCAATTCACAGAATTTTTATTTGTCAGAATTTTCATTTAACATAATAGACATTTTAAAGAATCAAACAATCGACAGAAAGATTACGGAGCGATTTTTAAAATCAACCAATCACAATTTTATTATGTTAAATGAAAATTCGAGCAAATAAAAATTCTGACAAATAAATATTAGAAAAAATAAAAATGCTGTGAAGTGAATTTTCGGTTATATAAAAATTCCCAGACAGCACATAACATTGCGGCAATATTGCTGGGCAAGTTTCGCAATATTGCCGTGTAACATTACAGCAATGTTGCCACAACATTAAAATGACCCACCTTGCTCAATATTGCACAGTAAGCTTGCCACAAGCTTATGTCAAGATTGCACCACAAGTTTGCAGCAATGTTGCACGGTAACATTGCCGCATGATTGCTCGGCAAGTTTGCATCGTAAGCTTGCTGTAAGATTCATGTAAGGTCGAATAGTAATTGCATTTCCTATTATTTAGTATAAAAATATCTTGTGCAAATGGTTCAATTAAAATAATTAAAGATAGAATAAAAAAATGAAATTAAAACATTTAAATATGGCTATTTTTTAATTATTATTTAAATAATTATTTTTTAATTGAAGAAAAAATTATTTTTATGGCCTACGGCGAGAATTTTCTGTAGCATAAAGTTTGCAGCTAGCTTACTATTCGACCTTACATGAATCTTACAGCAAGCTTACGATGCAAACTTGCCGAGCAATCTTGCGGCAATGTTACCGTGCAACATTGCTGCAAGCTTGTGGTGCAACCTTGACATAAGCTTGTGGCAAGCTTACTGTGCAATATTGAGCAAGGTGGGACATTTTAATGTTGTGGCAACATTGCTGTAATGTTACACGGCAATATTGCGAAACTTGCCCAGCAATATTGCCGCAATGTTATGTGCTGTCTGGGTTCTGTAATATAGAAAATTATGCAAAATACTATTTCGAACAAATAAAAATTTGGCTCGAAACTAATTAGGACAAATAAAATTCGATAAAATGTAAATTATGCCTAATGATTTTTAGAACATAATCATGCGCCCCGATTAACTACTGTGAATCTTGATCAATATTAATTACTCCTTTTTTATCAGAAATCCTCAAACAGCAGTGAATGTTACATTTAATTCGATGGAAAGCAATTTATACAAATGGAAACTACGAACTTTGCCTTCCTTGCCTCCAATTCCGGAATCTGTTCAGAATTTTGTAGAAATAATAAATTCGCCCGAAAATCAGCAGTGGAAACAATTTAATGATGGGCAATTTTCTGTAACAGTCACGAGAGATATTACAGGATCAACATCAGCAATTTTTATAGATATTCAGTTTGCTGAAAGAATAATTGCTGACAACAACATGGTCTATCTTGATGCCACGTATAAAGTTGTGCCGAAAATTGAAGATGCATATCAGCTTCTTACATTAATTATGATCAAATTCAATCACGTAAGAAATTTTTTAATTATGGACCGAATTCATGTCAAATTATGCAAGCAGTCCGATGATATATTGCGAATTAATTTCAGAATGAAGTATATTATTCTACTTGAAAATTAAAAAATATGTGTTTTTTTATATTTTGATTCGATTTTGTGTGTACTTTTTACGACTTTTTAAAGATTTTTTCAAGAAAACTAATTTTTTTGCATTTTTCGCTTAAAAAAAGCATAACTTTCGTAATTTTTAACCTTTTTTGTTGCTCCTGGGCTTATTTTTTTCATTTTTTTTACTATTTAAAAAAAAATTGCTCCGAATGAACAATAATAAAAAACAAGGATAAAAATGGAATTTTTCGAAAAAACAAAAAAAAAATTTTTTCTCAAAAATGCCACTTTTTTTGCCCCAAATTTTCAGGATTTATTAGTACACATATGTACCACATACCATAAAAATTTCACTTGGTATTTTTTTGTTTCTTAGGAGAAAAAAAATATTTTCATTTTTTTGATTAAAAACTCTAAAAATCATAAAATTTAAAAGGTTTCAAACTGCTCCTTGATTCATTTTTTTACTTTTCAACATTATTTTCGAGAATTGCGCAAAATTAAAAAATGATAATAATTTGCAAGAAAAATAACTTTGTTTTAGAAAAAAACAAAAAAAAAGATTTCAAATATTTTTTTTTTTCAAAATTACTTTTTAGATTTTTTATGTATTGATCAATTCTAAAAGCAATATTTAGAAAAAAAAACAATTTCAACAATCCAATCAATCGATCGAATTAGGCAACGATAATTTCTCATGATAAAGAATATGAATATGATAATTTCTCATGTTAAAGAATATGAATAAATCCTTAGAATGAGAAATTATCGTTGCCTAATTCGATCGATTGATTGGATTGTTGAAATTGTTTTTTTTTCTAAATATTGCTTTTAGAATTGATCAATACATAAAAAATCTAAAAAGTAATTTTGAAAAAAAAAAATATTTGAAATCTTTATTTTTGTTTTTTTCTAAAACAAAGTTATTTTTCTTGCAAATTATTATCATTTTTTAATTTTGCGCAATTCTCGAAAATAATGTTGAAAAGTAAAAAAATGAATCAAGGAGCAGTTTGAAACCTTTTAAATTTCATGATTTTTAGAGTTTTTAATCAAAAAAATGAAAATATTTTTTTTCTCCTAAGAAACAAAAAAATACCAAGTGAAATTTTTATGGTATGTAGTACATATGTGTACCAATAAATCCTGAAAATTTGGATCGAAAAAAAGGGGCATTTTGGAGAAAAAATTTTTTTTTTTGTTTTTTCGAAAAATTCCATTTTTATCCTTGTTTTTTAATATTTTTCATTCGGAGCAATTTTTTTTTAAATAGTAAAAATAATGAAAAAAATAAGCCCAGGAGCAACAAAAAAGGTTAAAAATTACGAAAGTTATGCTTTTTTTAAGCGAAAAATGCAAAAAAATTAATTTTCTTCAAAAAATCTTTAAAAAGTCGAAAAACTACACACAAAATCGAATAAAAATATAAAAAAGCACATATTTTTTAATTTTCAAGTAGAATAATATACTTCATTCTGAAATTAATTCGCAATATATCATAGGAGTTTTTTTTTATTTTTTGTGAATTTTCGGAAATTTTTATTTAGTTTTTACAACTTTTTCACATTTCTTTTTCCTTTATTAAAAAATAAATAGTACCATCGTCTTCCATACTGAAAAACGAAAAAAATTCACTATACTAAACGTCTTTTTCAGTAAAATAGATTAGAATTTCTATTAGAAAGTAAAAAGTTAATTTACAAATATTTTCTGCCTTGTAATTATAACAATAAGTGTTTGCAATATGAGCATCAAAATCCGCATCCAACGAGCCCTGTATGAACTATTCTGGATGAACGGATTTTAAATTAATAATTAATAATAATTATTATTTAAATAATTAATAACATCTTAAAAAGTGAAGATAAACAGTTTGTTCTTTTTTTATTTGAAATATTCCCATGTGCGAAATGCCAAGACTGACAATACGGCCCAACATTGGCCCAGTAATGTCTGCCGAAGTATGGCAAACGTTACTGGACCAGTACTGGCGATCAATTCGTTCCATTATTGGGCCAATATTGGCACCGATTGTCGGTTACTCTAATTTGCCATTTATTGGGCCGAACTCTGTCCCATTACTGGGCCAATATTGTCAATGCGTCTCAGTTACTCCAATTTGCCATAATTAGGCCAAACTCCTTCCCATTATTGGGACAATATTGGCACCAATTCTCGGTTACTCTAATTTTCCATTATTGGGCCGAACTCTGTCCCATTACTGGGCCAATATTGGCAATGCGTCTCAGTTACTCCAATTTTCCATAATTAGGCCGAACTCCGTCTCATTATTGGGACAATATTGGCACCGTTTCTCGATTATTCTAATTTGCCATTATTGGGCCTTCTCTGCTCTCTTAAATTGAATCAGTGGAATTTCACTGATTATTCAGCTAGAAGTCTGCCACTGATCCCTGTCAGTGAAATTTGACTGAAAATTCAATAAAATTTCACTGCTTCTAAGTGAAAATATCATTGATTGCAATCAGTTATCACAGATGTTACTGATTCATCAGTGAAAAAGCACTGATTCTCAGTGAAATTTAATTGATTTCTCAGTTAAATTTCACTGAATCTCATTGACTCACTTCTCACTGAGAATCAGTGAAATTCCACTGATTCATTTTAAGAGAGTGTCCCATTACTGGGCCAATATTGGCACTGCGTCTCAGTTCCCAGAAAAAAGCGAAGAATTAAGAAGAATTGGAAAGTACCTTTCCATTGAAAAGGAAAAATTATTAATCTTTTTGAATTCCAATTCTGTCCAATCCCTATGTATTCCTTGTTGAGACTAAGATTTCTTGAAACTCAATTCCTATCAATTCCTTTTTAATATTTTCCTAATTTTCCAATCCCTATCAATTCCACTTTAATATTTTTCTAATTTTTTAATTCTTTTGAATTCCAAAATACTGCGTTTTTGAACAGAAAAAACCTGGCTTCAAATTGAGTATAGATTCTATACTCAATTTGATTCGCATCAAAAATGAGATTGGGATGCTCTTCAAATTGAGTATAGAATCTATATTCAATTTAAAGCGTTCATACTCAGTTTGAAACCAAGTTTTATCTGTGTAATTCTGACTAAATATCTCAATTATACCTGAAAGTTAATTCCTCTATTCCGTTTTGATGTTTCGGTAAGTTTTTAATTCATTTGAATTCCGCACCACTCTAAAGTAGGCCCGTTTAAAATCAAGTATCTACTGTACAGTCGATATTGCTCAGTTGAACAGTCGCTCGACTCCTACACTGAAAGTCGAGGGTTACAAATTTTCAAATGTTTAAACAATTGTCCTTTCTGTCAGGACTTGAATTATAAATGTATAATGAATTAATTAGTTAATTAATTAATTATTATAATTTTTTAAACTTTTTTAAACTTTGACAATACTGGGCCACTAATGGCAGCCAAGATTGGCCCAGTAATGATGTCTGATACTTGGCTACCGACGTCCAACCGCAGTTAACACCACAAGAGTTGGCCCAATATTGTCTGCCAAGACTTGGTGCCCGATTTGACAATGCTGGGCCAATATTGGCCCATGTTGGTTTTCGCACATGGGTTATCTAATTCTGTGTCAAAAAAAGAATATTAAGTATTACTAAGAATCGAAAATTGATTATAAAATGTTCTTTAGAGAGAGACTGAATAATACCGTGCACAGAAGGTAGGAAATCTCTGCCAAGTTGTGCCGTGGGGTGCTGAAACAGCGATTTTCAATAATTATCTGTTAATAATTTATATTGTTAAAAATGTTATTTGCAATGGTCTTATTTAACATATAATTAAATGATCTTCAAAACAAAAAAAGAATTAACTGATTATTTACACTCCTTAACATGTTAAGAATATTAATATTATAATATTATTATTTTTATTATTATTATACTTAATATTCAATTATTATTAATTATTAATTTAAAATCCGAAATTGTTCATATAGGGCTCGTTAGATGCGACTTTTGATAAGCATAAAAATGGCGGTTTTAAAATTACTCTAACTTTATTTATTCGTAAAATATTTCATTTTTTATTAATTTTTATTAATTAATTAATTAATTAATATCTCGAAAACAAAAAAAAATATATTCGCCAAATTTAGCACATGTCTTCGGCTCATATTAAGGAATGTTCATGAATTTTTTTTAGCTTAAACGGAGCCCGATAACAAGTTGAAAAATTAAAAATAAATTTTATTGTTTAAATAAATAAATTAAAAAAATTTAATTTTTCAAAATTAATTTTTTTTCTTAAACTTCAGTATTTTCTGAGCAAAAAACATTTAAGAAAATTTTTTCTAGTACTAAAAGTAGAAAAGTTATGAATAATTGAAAAAAAAGTTGATCCACTAAGTTTTTAATGCAAATATCTCAAAAAATAATCAATATTTAAAAAAATTTTTTTTACTCAATGAGACCCTTAAACTCTACCCAAAAACGTAGTATGGAAGAAATCAGAGGATAGATCCCTCAATCTAACATGGAATTGCTCATATACAGGGCTTTCCAATCGCATATGCTCTAATGGAGAGTAAATCAGAAACGGCATACGTGTCGGTGTTAACTGAAATACGGCGACTACTTCCAAATTTAAATGTGACATCAGCCATGTCAGATTATGAGACAGCTTTGAAAAATACAATTTTGTATCATTTTCCTGAAGCCGATATATTTGGATGCTACTTTCACTATACACAGGTAAAATTTATTTATTTACATCTAATTCAAACCTTATTTTGGTTTTATGTGGCCCTGATACATATTCATGCTGAGAAATAATTGAGTTCACAACATTCCAAGTGAGAAAATCAACACGGCCCATTACTGGCCCAGTATGGATAAAGGTTGCACCGAGCCTTAGTAGAAAATATTTGACCGAGTCTTGTATTAGTGTTAAGCGCGGCTAGACGTCAGCAGCCATCCATCGGACGCCACTACTGGGACAATCTTGGCTGCCATTAATGGCCCAGTATTATCAAAGTTTAAAAGTTTTTTAAAATTATAATTATTAATTAATTCATGAATTAACTAATTAATTCATTATACATTTATAATATAAGTCTTGAAAGAAAGCGCAATTTTTTAAACAGTTGATGCGCCAATATTGGGCCGAGATTCGTCTCATTATTGTTAAAGATAATTTACTATAATAGAATCAACACTTTTGCCATTATTGGGCCAAGATTTGTCTCGTTATTGGCGAAAATAATTTACCATAATAAATTCAACACATAGGCCGTCGTTGTGTCATTATTGGACCGAGATTGGCTAAAATAATTTACCATAATAGATTTAACACATCGGCCGTCGTTGTGGTATTATTGGTCCGAGATTCGTTTCACCATTGGAAAAAAGAATTTAATGTAACAGATTCAAAACTTTTGCTATTGATGCGCCAGTAATGGGATGAGATGCGTCCCAAGTTTGTAAAATTAGAATTTTTGAAAATCGGTGCCAATATTAGTCCAGTAGGGGAGGGTGGGGCAAGGATAGTTAGTGGCTCTAATACAAAAACGGCTCGTCAAAAAAACGGGTCATTTATCATGTACACTCGTCTTAACACCAAAAGACAACAGTAAAAATTTGAGCTTGCGGGGACACTATTTGTAAAAGCTACGTGCCCATTTGTGTTAAATCTCAGTTTTGCTAAAATATTTTCACCTTATTTTTATTATTCAATCTTATTTTTGCGGATATAATTTATTAAATATATTTGGTTGCGTAAATGTTTTCTGGTGTAAAATTTTGTACTGAAAATATCATATTCGTTTTTTTAAAAAAAAATTTTTTTGTACTAAAAATTTGTGATAATTCGAAAAAATCGCTCACGGGGCAAAACTAGTTAGTGCCTTGTTGTAATACTTATGACAAGGTAATGTCTGGCTAACACAATTTTTTAATTGCAAACGAAATGCTAATTGCTTTTTATGGATCGCGATTTAATAATTTTTTTGTTTTTCAAAAAATTCACAAAAAACATGTTTTTTGATAAAAATTATCATCCTTAACTGCTAAGTTGTATTAAACATGATTCGATTTAATTAGAACAATAATTTTTATTGTTAAGTCTTGACAAATATAATTCGATACCTTGAAACATGATTTTTTGTATCATTCTTAGTAAAAACAAATTTTCAACTATCTTTGCCCCACTAGTGGGGCAAGGATAGTTAAAAATTTTTTTTTACTTTTCCAATATTATCTCGAAGGCATTGCAATCTACAAGAAAACAATATATAGCAAAATTGTAGCTAAATAAACAGGCTTTCGAACGATACTATTCTTTTTTAGATCCCAGTTTAAATTTCACCGCTAGATCCAAAAATATCTTACCTAACTATCCTTGCCCCATCCTCCCCTAATGGGACGAGTTGTGCGCCAATACTGACCCAATAAGATTTTCTGTACTACGGCAGATATTATTTGGTTAATGTTGGGCCGTATTGTCAACCCAAGCAGCACGATATATCAACCAGATGTCACGGTGATATCACCGGGGAATGTCATCGTGACATCAGGAAAATGTCTAAATATCCGCCTTACGGTGATATCATGGTGACAGCAAGGTGATATCACAGTCATATCACGGTGATATCATGGTGATATCACCATAATATCACCGTGATATCATGTTGATATTTTACAGGGATTTAAAATTGTTAATAATTTAAAAAATAATAATAAATAATAAAAATAATAATTTTTTAAAAATTTTAAATCCCTGTAAAATATCAAAATGATAGCACGGTGATATCACCATGACATCACCATGATATCACCATGATATCACCGTGATATGACTGTGATATCACCTTGATGTCACCATGATATCACCTCGATGTCACCATGATATCACCGTAAGGCGGACATTTTGACATTTTCCTGATGTCACGGTGACATTCCCCGGTGATATCACCGTGACATCTGGTTGATATATCGTGCTACTTGGGAATCCTCGCATTTTGCACTTAGGTATATCTAATTATAATAATTTTTAGGGAATTTTTCACTTCGCTTGCTCAATCGGATTAAAAAGATATCTTAAAACAAGTGAGGAAGGAAAGCATACTCTCAAGCAATTGATGGCTTTAGCTTTTCTGCCACCAGAGAAAATTCGTCAAACTTATACAGAAATAAAACGGATCAAGTCTGAAGAATGCCAACGGATTCTTGCTGATTTATTTAAATATTATGAGAATCAGTGGCTTGAAAGGGTTAAGCCTGAGGGTTTTAGTGTGTTCGGGTTGAACAGGAGAACAAATAATGTTTTGGAATCCTACCATAAACGATTGTCAACAAAAATAGGAAAAAAACCAAGCACCTGGCAATTCACAAGTGAGTACGCTATACTCCAATACCCAGACAGCACGTAAGCTTGCAGCAACCTTACGGAAAGCTTTCCGCGCAATATTGCCAACCTTGCATGGCAAATTTACCGCAAGCTTCATATGTCCCACCTAACCCAAGCTTGCATGGTAAGCTTGCCGAAAGATCGCAGTGTAAGGTTACTGCAAGATTGCACAGTAAGATTATCGCAAGATTGCTCAGTAAGTTTGCACGGTAAGCTTGTCGCAAGGTTGCCGAATAAGCTTGCCAATCAGCACAGAAAGTTGCAGCACGCTTGCGGAATATAACAAAAAAATTATAGGAGGAAAAAATTTCATTTGTACATACATTGAACAAAACAATTTACTGCGCAGCCGTAAGTGCTTATTATTGCAAGTGCGCATAGTGCTCATTTTCAATGCAAACTTCTCTGCTGATTGGTCAAGGTTATTTAGCAACCTTGCACCAACCTTGCGACAAGCTTACCCTGTAAGCTTACTGAGCAATCTTGCGATAATCTTACTATGCAATCTTGCAGTAACCTTACACTGCAATCTTTCGGTAAGCTTACCATGCAATCTTGCTATAATCTTACTGTGCAATCTTGCAGTAACCTTACACTGCAATTTTTTGGCAAGGTTAGGTGGGACATTTAAAGCTTGCTGCAAGTTTGCGGTAAGCTTGTTGTGCAAGTTTGGTAATATTGCGTGACAAGCTTGCCGCAAGGTTGCTGCAAGCTTACGTGCTGTCTGGATATATAACAGACTAACGCCATTGAAAAATTTTATAAAAAATATTGAAATAAGCAATTTACCAAGATTTTTAAAATTATTATTATTAAAATTTTCATAAATCTGAATTACATAAGATTTTTTTTTAAACTTTAGACAAAAATTAAATTTTAGAGATTTTTTAAATGGTAAATCTTTTAAATAATTGAATTGTTGGAAAATTTGATAAAATTTATTGAAATAATTAATTTAACGACGGATTTTAGATACAAATTTTAAAAATAATTTAATTTCGCGATATTTTAAATAAATATTTTATTATATTTGAATTGCAAAATTTTTTTTTTACAAGTTCCCAATAATAATTTCCCGTATAAAGATGGATTTTAAAAAAAAGTCAAAAAAATTTTAATTTTCAAAAAAAGGGTCAAATTTTTTTTCATCTTTTTGTTTAAAAGTTAGAAGTCTTAAAAAATTCACTGTTTAAATTTTTCAAAAAAATTTAACACGTCCCCTCTGCTATAGTTTTTGAAAAAAGCTAACAATACTTCGTGGTTAAAGTAATCCCCCCTATGTGCATGTTGACCGAATTCATGTCAAATCATGCAGGCAGTCCGATGATATATTGCGAATTAATTTCAGAATGAAGTATATTATTCTACTTGAAAAATAAAGAAATACTTGTTTTTTTATATTTTGATTCGATTTTGTGTGTAGTTTTTACTACTTTTTAATGATTTTTTCAAGAAAATTAATTTTTTTGCATTTTTCGCTTAAAAAAAGCATAACTTTCGTAATTTTTAAACTTTTTTGTTGCTCCTGGGCTTATTTTTTTCATTTTTTTTACTATTTAAAAAAAACTTCTCCGAATGAACAATATTAAAAAACAAGGATAAAAATGGAATTTTTCGAAAAAACAAAAAAAAAATTTTTTCTCAAAAATGCCACTTTTTTTCGATCCAAATTTTCAGGATTTATTGGTACACATATGTACTACATACCATAAAAATTTCACTTGGTATTTTTTTGTTTCTTAGGAGAAAAAAAATATTTTCATTTTTTTGATTAAAAACTCTAAAAATCATGAAATTTAAAAGGTTTCTAACAGCTCCTTGATTCATTTTTTTACTTTTCAACATTATTTTCGAAAATTGCGCAAAAAATAAAAAATGATAATAATTTGCAAGAAAAATAACTTTGTTTTAGAAAAAAACAAAAATAAAGATTTCAAATATTTTTTTTTTTCAAAATTACTTTTTAGATTTTTTATGTATTGATCAATTCTAAAAGCAATATTTAGAAAAAAAACAATTTCAACAATCTAATCAATCGATCGAATTAGGCAACGATAATTTCTCATGATAAAGAATATGAATATGATAATTTTTCATGATAAAGAATATGAATTAGATAATTTCTCATGATAAAGAATATGAATTAGATAATTTCTCATGATAAAGAATATGAATATTCTTTATAATGAGAAATTATCTTTGCCTAATTCGATCGATTGATTGGATTGTTGAAATTGTTTTTTTTTCTAAATATTGCTTTTAGAATTGATCAATACATAAAAAATCTAAAAAGTAATTTTGAAAAAAAAAAATATTTGAAATCTTTTTTTTTGTTTTTTTCTAAAACAAAGTTATTTTTCTTGCAAATTATTATCATTTTTTATTTTTTGCGCAATTTTCGAAAATAATGTTGAAAAGTAAAAAAATGAATCAAGGAGCTGTTAGAAACCTTTTAAATTTCATGATTTTTAGAGTTTTTAATCAAAAAAATGAAAATATTTTTTTTCTCCTAAGAAACAAAAAAATACCAAGTGAAATTTTTATGGTAAGTAGTACATATGTTTACCAATAAATCCTGAAAATTTGAGGCGAAAAGAAAGTGGCATTTTTTAGAAAAAATTTTTTTTTTGTTTTTTCGAAAAATTCCATTTTTATCCTTGTTTTTTAATATTTTTCATTCGGAGCAATTTTTTTTAAATAGTAAAAAAAATGAAAAAAAAGCCCAGGAGCAACAAAAAAGTTTAAAAATTACGAAAGTTATGCTTTTTTTAAGCGAAAAATGCAAAAAAATTAATTTTCTTGAAAAAATCTTTAAAAAGTCGTAAAAACTACACACAAAATCGAATCAAAATATAAAAGAACACGCATTTCTTTATTTTTCAAGTAGAATAATATACTTCATTCTAAAATTAATTCGCAATATATCATCGGACTGCCTGCATGATTTGACATGGATTCGGTCTGTTACAGACCGATTCGATCAATTTTACTCTCTATATAAAATATAAGAAGTAATTATTTTAAACAGAAGCTTATTTATTATTTCAGAAAAATTAGCAGACTTTCAAGCTGGAATGCGCTTAGATTTAACATCTCTGTCTAAAGGAAAGCGAATAACCAGATCCGAAAAACCAATTACAATAATGAGAAATGAATTTTTAATTCGACAATGGATTGATTTGGAAGATCCAAATGGCCCAACTAATATTGAATTTTTGGAGCGAATAATTAATTTCAATAAGGATCCATTCACTGAATATTTCAATTTATTTACTACGTGAAGTAGTAAATTTTAAGTGCGCGAAGTTACATGACATGAATGCATGGTCCTGAGTTACTTCATACTTAACTCGCCCGCGAGTTTTTATTTTATCTCATCTCGAGCTCGATTTATAATACCAGCTCAATTCGAAGATCTCGCTATTTTTATTTTAGAAGAAATAAAGAGATGAATATAAAAAATAGTAGAAAAATTACAGAAAGTAATCATAAATTTCTTTCTTGCATTTTTTCCATAACCAAAATTAGCCTAATATTTATGCTATTGCGTGTTTTGATAGGTTTTGACAATTCATAATATTGTTTTTTTTTATTTGTATTAAGTATTTTATTTATGTTTTATATTGCAGTTATTTTGTTTTTTTCGATTTAAAAATACATAGTATTTTAGAAGATATTTAATTGGGCTTAAAATTTTTGAAAAATATAAATTACCTCTTTGGAATTTATTTTATTACAGGTGAGAGATATAAGTAGTATTATGTAACAAGGAAATATCAAACTTTAATATTTGGCTTTAATCTTTTAAATTATTACCATCTACCTCTAAAATAAAGTTATTTATTAGAAATTTAATTAATGAATTGTAATAGTTGTAATTAAAAAAAAATGAAACAGATAATCGATTCGAGAAGTATTCAAAAGAATTTAAATTCTAATTATAATAATCTTATAACAAAAACTTTGCTCTATAAACAAACATTTATGATTCAAGTGTTGATGAATAAAGAGAGTGTGAAATATGTACGTGGGAACATAGTTAATTAACATTATCCCGTGCCAGTAATCAATCGAAATTTCCCATTGAAAGTACAAAATAATATATTTAAATTAATTCTAGCTCAAAATAAAATTGTTGCGATGAGAAAATAATTTTTTTGGACAATTTGTTCTGTAAAAAATATTTAATTAACTAATTATTGATTTATTGAGTTAATTAATTTTTTTTTAGAGAAAAAGTGTCAGAAAAATTATTTTCTCATCGCAACAATTTCTTTTTGGGCTAGAAATAAATTTTTTGGCAATTTTTCTCTGTAAAAAAAATTAATTAACTAAATAAATCAATAATTAGTTAATTAATTTTTTTACAGAGAAAAAGTGTCAGAAAAACTATTTTCTCATCGCAACAATTTCTATTTGGGCTAGAAATAAATTTTTTGGCAATTTTTCTCTGTAAAAAATAATTAATTACTTAATTATTTAATTAATAGGTAATTAATTTTTTGTTACAGTAAATATTAGTCAAAAAAATTATTTCTAGCAGAAAAAAAATTGTTGCGATAAGAAAATAATTTTTTTGGCAATTTTTCTATGTAAAAAAATATTTAATTAACTAATTATTGATTTACTGACTTAATTAATTTTTTTACAGAGAAAAAGTGTCAGAAAAATTATTTTCTCATCGCAACAATTTCTTTTTGGGCTAGAAATAAATTTTTTGACAATTTTTCTCTGTAAAAAAATTAATTAACTAAATAAATCAATAATTATTTAATTAATTTTTTTACAGAGAAAAAGTGTCAGAAAAATTATTTTCTCATCGCAACAATTTCTATTTGGGCTAAAAATAAATTTTTTGGCAATTTTTCTCTGTAAAAAATAATTAATTAACTAATTATTGATTTATTTAATTAATTATTTTTTTTTACAGAGAAAAATTGCCAAAAAAATTATTTCCTCATCGCAACAATTTCTTTTTGGGCTAGAAATAATTTTTTTGACAATTTTTCTCTGTAAAAAAAATTAATTAACTACATAATTCAATAATTAGTTAATTAATTATTTTTTACAGTGAAAAAATGCCAAAAAAATTATTTCCTCATCGCAACAATTTCTTTTTGGGCTAGAAATACTTTTTTTGACAATTTTTCTCTGTAAAAAAAAATTAATTAACTAAATAAATCAATGATTAGTTAATTAATTATATTTTACAGAGAAAAAGTGTCAGAAAAATTATTTCCTTATCGAAACAATTTTCTTTGGCAGGAAATAATTTTTTTGGACAATTTTTCTCTGTAAAAAAAAATAATTAACTAAATAAATCAATGATTAGTTAATTAATTATTTTTTACAGAGAAAAAGTGTCAGAAAAATTATTTGCTTATCGAAACAATTTTTTTTGTCAGGAAAAAATTTTTTTGGACAATTTTTCTATGTAAAAATAAAAATTTAATTAACTAATTATTGATTTATTGAGTTAATTAATTATTTTTTACAGTGAAAAATTGCCAAAAAAATTATTTCCTCATCGCAACAATATCTTTTTGGGCTAGAAATAATTTTTTTGACAATTTTTTTCTGTAAAAAAAATTAATTAACTACATAAATCAATAATTAGTGAATAAATTATTTTTTACAGGGAAAAATTGCCAAAAAAATTATTTCCTCATGGCAACGATTTCTTTTTGGGCTAGAAATAATTTATTTGGCAATTTTTCTCTGTAAAAAAAATTAATTAACTAAATAAATCAATAATTAGTTAATTAATTATTTTTTACAGAGAAAAATTGCCAAAAAATTTATTTTTAGCCCAAATAGAAATTGTTGCGATGAGAAAATAATTTTTCTGACACTTTTTCTCTGTAAAAAAATTAATTAACTAATTATTGATTTATTTAGTTAATTAATTTTTTTTAGAGAGAAAAATTGTCAAAAAATTTATTTCTAGCCCAAAAAGAAATTGTTGCGATGAGAAAATAATTTTTCTGACACTTTTTCTCTAAAAAAAAATTAATTAACTCAATAAATCAATAATTAGTTAATTAAATATTTTTTACAGAACAAATTGTCCAAAAAAATTATTTCCTGCCAAAAAAAATTGTTTCGATAAGGAAATAATTTTTCTGACACTTTTTCTCTGTAAAAAAATTAATTAACTCAATAAATCAATAATTAGTTAATTAAATATTTTTTTACAGCGAAAAATTGTCAAAAAAATTATTTTCTCATCGCAACAATTTTATTTTGAGCTAGAATTAATTTAAATATATTATTTTTAATAATAATATAATATTTACTGGTAAATTAATTAATTATTAATTAATTATCAATTAATAATTAATTAATAATCAATTAATAATCATTTTAATTATTAAATTTTTCTTTAAATTTGAATTTCCCGCTATAGAATCTGTTCTTTGGGCTTTAAAGCCCGATCGTCTTTTTTTTCCGTAAATTGAATGTTGCTTATTGCACATAATATCAGTCTTTTTGCACTTACAGAAATATTAAACTTTAAATATAAACTACATAACTGTGATCACAGATAGGGGTTTCTTGCACATTTTTAGGCAGGTTATTTTCTGTTTACATTGACAGCCATATGTTCCGCTTGACGCTACTGCGCATGACGCTGCCTGCACAGACAGCCAGTGAGAGAGCCAACCAGAGAGTCAGTAGATTTAAATTTGCATCTTCTTTCTCTCTTACTCTTGAACGTTTTCTGCGTGGTGGAAGGCTGCCTGTGCAAGCGCCTATACACTTTGTTTAAATTAGCACTTCGTGAAATTAGCGAAAAAGCCAACCCATTAAATGGAGCAAGTCAATGGAGCGAATAAGTTTTTTAAAAATAATTTTTGAAATATTAATTTTTGAACCCTTGTGAAATTGTAAAATATTTTTTATTTATCGAGATCTATTATCAAGAATTAATTTTTCAATAGTTATTTTAAAAAAACTGATTTGCTCCATAGACTTCAATGCATTGCATGTCTTGACGAGCCACTATTTTTAAAACTAACGTCACGCTACGTCACAAATTGAACAGCTTTATTGGAATTTTTAGCGCAGCTTTGATAAAATGATGAGAAGCTTGCTTTTCACCTAACGGTCAATACGTCGAACAGACAAAATGTCAAAAAGGCAATACATCGAACAGACAAAATGTCGAAAAGCCAAGAAGGCGAACGGTCAAAATGACGAAAAGTCAATACGTCGAAAGTTCAAAATGTCGGAAAGCCAAGAAGTCGAACATTTAATACATCGAACGGACAAAATATCGAAAAGCCAAGACATCGAACAGCCAATACGTCGAACTGACAAAATGTCGAAAAATTTTATTGACTTAAGTAGAATTATAATTATTTCAATAAAATTTTTCGACATTTTGTCAGTTCGACGTATTGGCTGTTCGATGTCTTGGCATTTCGATATTTTGTCCGTTCGATGTATTAAATGTTCGACTTCTTGACTTTCCGACATTTTGATCGTTTGACGTATTGACATTTCGTCATTTTGACCGTTCGCCTTCTTGGCATTTCGACATTTTGTCTGTTCGATGTATTGCCTTTTTGACATTTTGTCTGTTCGACGTATTTTAAAAAATTAATAAAAACTAAATATTTGATTTTATTATTTTAAAAAATAGATCTCGATAAATAAAAAATATTTTACAATTACACTTGGGCTCAAAAATTAATAATTAAAAAATTATGATAAAAAATCTGATTCGCTTTATTAACTTCAATGTATTGCATGTCTTCCGACGAGCCACCATTTTGAAGAGTGACGTTGCGCTACGTCACAAATTGAAGTGCCTTATTGAAATTTTTAGCGCATTTTTGTTATAGTGATACGCATATGCTTTTCACCGTACGGTCAATACGTCAAACAGGCAAAATGTTGAAAAGCCAATACGTCCAACTGATAAAATGTCAAAAAGGCAATACATCGAACAGACAAAATGGCGAAAAGCCATAACCTCGAAAAGCCAAGACGGCGAACGGTCAAAATGACGAAAAGTCAATACGTCGAACGTTCAAAATGTCGGAAAGCCAAGAAGTCGAACATTTAATACATCGAACGGACAAAATATCGAAAAGCCAAGACATCGAACAGCCAATACGTCGAACTGACAAAATGTCGAAAAATTTTATTGACTTAAGTAGAATTATAATTATTTCAATAAAATTTTTCGACATTTTGTCAGTTCGACGTATTGGCTGTTCGATGTCTTGGCTTTTCGATATTTTGTCCGTTCGATGTATTAAATGTTCGACTTCTTGGCTTTCCGACATTTTGATCGTTTGACGTATTGACATTTCGTCATTTTGACCGTTCGCCTTCTTGGCATTTCGACATTTTGTCTGTTCGATGTATTGCCTTTTTGAAATTTTATCAGTTGGACGTATTGGTTTTTCAACATTTTGCCTGTTTGACGTATTGACCCTACGGTGAAAAGCGTAAAAATTTCAATAAATCAATTCAATTTGTGACGTCACGCAACGTCACAAATTGAATTGCCTTATACTTGGGAAGTATGCAGTGTCTTTTTTTTCGGACGGAAAAAGAAGGACACTGCATACTTTCTCACACGCATGAATCTCCCCATGAATATCGTTCGGAAGTCATTGTGCGTTGGCCCTTAGGTGTGACGTCAGGTAAGATTAACAAGTGAAAGCAAACGTGTGAACGACCTACCTTGACACATATATATTTGTTGAGCAAGGCTCTGATATACATGCGTATACTCATATATACCTATATATATATATAGTGCAGTTCTATTTTGTTTTATGCAATATATATATATATATATATATATTGAAAAAAAAATGAAAATCAAAAATTATGGCTTCTTCTTTCCTGGTGATGAGATTTTTTTGTTAAATGTGAAAAATCTTTTTCTTGGTGTATTTTTCGTTTGCAAGTTTTTGTGTTTTTTAAAAATTATGGCAGATCATTTATATGGGCGACTAGATCAAAATAATGTAAACAGACGAGGACCTTTATTCGATTATTATTCTCATAATGAATATTTTTACATAACAAATACGAAGAAAAATGGAATAACGTGAGTATAAAATATAAATTTCGCCATATTGTTTCCATCTCAATATGTGAAAAATTGAATTTTTTTTATTATCACATAATAAATTGCGAATTTTAACAATTTTATTTTTGAATCAATTTTTTTTTCTGTAAAAAAAGTTTAATAAAACCATTGTATCTGAATAATTTATTTGCTTATTAATAATTGCTAAACAAAAAATAGAATATTAATTAATATTAAATAATTGTTTTAAAATTAATTAATTGACATTAAATAAAATTATTCCTTTTAATAATTATTTTTGTATAGAACTATAATATTATTTTATTCAGGATTTGACTAATTTATTAATAAATCAATATATATATATATATATATATATATATATATATATATTGATTTATTAATAAAAGAAATTGAAACTTAATCAGTAATTTTTCTCCGTCTTTAAATCCATTTGAAAACATACACGGAGAACAATCAAATTCAGTTTGACACAATCCAAAGGGTATATCAACCCCCTTAACTTTTGTCATTCAGTGTTCTTCTTTCTAGAAAGAAATTGTTTATGAACAGATAATTAATATCCCTCTCAATTTCCTTTAAATCTTTCTATTATCTGTAACAACGGTCAGGTGCAAACACGTGAGTAAAGAGAGATCAGAAAATTTGTTAAATTTAAACAATTTATTTTTATAAAAAATATTTAAATCGCTTCAAAAAATGTAAGTACAAAAAAAATTGAATTATTATTACAAATTCATTTTAATTATTTTAACAAATTGTAATTATTTTATGTAATTTATGTCCCACGTGTTTCTTATAACCTTGAAAAAAATTTCATTTATATTACCTTCTTTTTATGTGAACACAAAAAGTGTATAGAATATCTTCAAATTTAAAAATATTGCTTCTTGAATATTTTAATATTATATTTAATTTAATAATAATAATGATTTATTTTTGATTGATCAATAATGTAATTAATTTAGACATAAAATTATAATTTCTAATTCTTTTTCTTTTAAAGGGAAAAAAATGCATATTAAAATTTATGTATATATTTTTTTCAAATTAACCTCTAAAATTTTTTTTAGATTTTTATTTCTTTCTTAAATAGATTCAAAAAAATATTTTAAAAAAATTCTAAATTCAAGTATTTTTAATTCTAAATGTCTAACGACAAGGCATAATCAGAAATTTTCAACAATAATTTAATAATAATAATCAAATTGTATAAATTGAATTTGAAATTAAGCTAAATTTTTTTTATCAAAAAATTAACATTTTACTGAAAGCAGATTTTAAAAAATTTCTATTTAACATTATTTTTGTAAGGCTGATTTTGCTGAATGCTTCGTATTTCAAATTAATATAATTGCAATTTAGATAAATTTTTGTTAAATAATATTGCAAAAAAAAAAGTAAAATTAAATATTCCGATAAATTAAAATTTCCTAAAATACCTAAAAAAAATAATGATCATATATTTTTTTCTATTTTTTTTACTAGTTTAGTATTTCTTAATTTCAAATTAATCTCTAAAATTCCGTAATTTTTTTTTGAAATTTTAAAATATTTCTTGAATCAGTTTTTAACTTTTAAAAACTTTTTTTTTTAATAATCTTCTAAATTTACGAATTATTAATTTAACAAGTCTTAACGACAAGACAATATCAGAAAATCTCAACAATAATTTAATAATAGTAGTCAAGTTTAATAAATTAGATTTTAAATTAAGCAAAATTATCTTATCAAAGAATTAACATTTTATTTAGATAAGATTTTAAAGAAATTCTATTTAACAGAATTATTGTAATGCTTTGAATTTTAAGTTAACAGAATTTATGTCTAATAAAACTTGTAAAAAAAAATTAAGTGAAATTAAATATTTCGATAAATTAAAATTTAATAAAATAACTATAGTATTTTTTTGAAATTAATTAATTCAGTAAGTAATTGGTATTGATAAATTTCACAATTTATTTTAAAATTTTTCGAATCTACTAAAATTATTAAATTTAGTAATTAACTTATTATGTACCTATATATAAGTTAATAAATTCATTGACTAGCAAATTAAATATTATGTTCATAAATGAACTAGGTTGAAATATATTTAGACATAAAAATATAATTTCTTACTTTTTTTCTTTTATAGAGAAAACGATGCAGTTTTAATTTTACTTATTTTTTTCAAATTAACTTTTAAAATTCCTTAAATTTTCTTTTTTTTTAGATTTTTAATTATTTCTTGAATCAGTTTATTAAGTTGTAATAACTATTTAAAAATAAACGTCCAAATTTAAGTATTTTTAATTAAAGGTCTCTCACGATAAAACATTAAGAAATTTTCAACAATAATTTAATAATAATAATAGTTAAGTTTTATAAATTAAATTATTTGAATTTTAAATTTTCACATTAAAATTTGACATAATTTATTTTTAAATGAATTTTTACATAACTAAATTTTTAAAGCTATCGAATTTGTATTTGACAGAATTTATATTTTACTGTCATTTTGTTACTCTCCATTGTAACTCTCCATAGTGTTCTTGGTTTTAAAATAAAGGTGAAATAATGAAGAATATTTTACTTCTTATTAAAAGAAACTCAAAAATCGGTCCCGTTCGAGTAAAAACGATTCAAAAAAATTATTAAACTTTTTTTGGGTTAAAATTCAAAAACAATTTTTCAACTATGTAACACTTCGAAAATGTATATTTTAAACAATAACATATTAAAATTGTATCGAGATTCGATTAATTGTTTCAGAAATATTTATGTTTAAAAAATAATTGTCAAAAAATTTAATATGGCGTAACTTTTACAATTTTGAAAATTTTTTAAAATCATTCGGGACTTTCATTTCTTATATTCAATACTACAATTTCACAAAATTACAGACGAATCCAAAAACGCCTAGCAAATCGTGATATTTCTGACGGAGTGTTACCCTTAATTTATTTTTATTTTTCTCACCACTTGATTTTTTAAAAAATTTAAAAAAAAGTATTAAATGTCAATTATTATTTATCAATGTATTAGTTAAAAGAAAAAAAAAAATTTTATGCGATCTTCACGACTTCACGATTACAAGACAAAGAAAAATGTCGCACAATTCATGTGTTTGCATATGCATACACGGACTAACCGTGTATGATAATTGTGCTTGTAAGACGAAGATGACGACCAATGGGATATAATGGGATTCTGTGACATAACTTGGAGATATTATCGTTTAGAGATTACTTATATAGAATATAAATACATCTGTTTATAAAAAAAAAAATTACAAATTTCAACTACCAATTCAGGCATCAATCTCATCACAATTTTTTATTCGGGTAACGACAATTTTAATTGATTTTATAATATTAACATTATACAATTTTTTCCCTTATTACCAAATTAATATTATCCTATTAAACCTGATACCAGTACCAGTACCATTCCAAACAAGTTAAAAACTCCAAATCATCAAATTCTTTCCTAAAAATACCTTTTAATTCCAGGAATGCTTCTATAGTGTTGAACGTTCAAATAAATAAAATTTGTTTTTTATAAATGTTTTTAAAAATTACTATACTGTTATGAAAATTAATGAATAAAATTAAAAAAATTTTGATTAATATTTAATATATAATTTTATAAAAAAATTCAAACTTAAAGCATAGTTAAAAAAAATACTTTCTTTATTTAAACGTTCAAAACATTTTTTGTACGTAAGGCTTCAAATTTTTTTTAACTTATCAATAATTGTGATAAAATTTTTATGGACGCATGAATATTCACCAACTAACCGACATTTTTCGGCCTGAATTTCAAAATTGTCCAATCAAAAATTATCATTAAAATTACAATTGATCAATTTTGAAACTCGTGCCAAAAAAAGTCAGGTAAGTGAAAATTCCGTTACATGTCAGATCGGTTATTTTATTTATTTCACTATTATAGATACCTACATTGCAAGCAATCCCGAAATTTTCACTGTCCTGGACGTGCGAAAATCGATCGCTTTGGTGAATTCTCATTAACAAAAGATCATGATCATGAACCAAATGCAAGAGATGAAGGGGAAAGAGTTTTCCGTCACGAATTATTTAATGCAGTAACATCACAATCGGACAGAAATGACGATATTCATGAGCGGATTGGTGAATTGTGAGTATTTTTATATATTTATTTTGACTATATAATTTTTTTATATGAAAAGAAAAAAGCAAATCAAAATCGCGGACTGTTACGTTACATTTCCAAGCACTTTTTAACGTCAATTTCCCCAAAAGTGCATGGAATTAATATATTTTAATATTTATTATTCATGCATCTAAAACTTGACATCCGTAGTAACATTTTCTATTAATATAAATTTTTCTGTACACCTTGTTATTTAAGAGTTATGAACGCCTCAAATAGACTGTTACGTTACATTTTTACTTCAAAAATTATGTAACGTAACAGTCCATTTGAGGCGTTTATAACTCTTAAATAACAAGGTGTACAGAAAAATTTATATTAATAGAAAATGTTACTACGGATGTCAAGTTTTAGATGCATGAATAATAAATATTAAAATATGCCAATTCCATGCACTTTTGTAGAAATTGACGTTAAAAAGTGCTTGGAAATGTAACGTAACAGTCCGCGATTTTGACCAAATGCTTTTAAATTGTTTATTTATTAATTAAAAAAACCGGATCTATTTACCAATTTGTTTCAAAAATGTATACTTTTTAAATATAACTATTAGCGTGAATCTTAATCAGCTTAAGAGTTATGCAAAATTTTTTCTCCATAATTTTTGTCGTAAAATGCTGAATGGATTTTTTTCATTTTTAAAATTTTATCATTTAAATTTAACTAAAAAATTAATAGATTCAATTTTCCAAATAGAAATAGAACCAAATTTAGGTAGTTTATTTTTATCCTAAAATGAAGGGTTTCAGCAAAGAAATTGAGGCCCTAAGTTAAAACATGATAAGTCTTGTATTTCAAATAATTTGAGTGGACTGTATCACTATTTCCTACTTCTTCAACATTTGGCTACTTTTTTTTTAGCAGTGTTCTGCTAAAAGCAACTTTTGATTTTCGAATTTGTAATAATTTTTTTGAAATTCCTAAAGTTAATTTATTTTCATAAAAACCCAAGTAGCATGAAATATTCGCGTGATATTGAAAAGATATCCATTTGATTGTTCTTTCTTTTTAAATTTCACTAATTTCGTTAATTTTTTAGATTGAAATAATATAAACATTATATTTAAAAAAAAATTTAATTCTTCTTGTTTCTAAACGTTAGAATTGATAATTGCACTGCAATCCGGGATTTATATAATCCACAAACATATTGTAGGCGGCCAAATAGAAAAAGGCGTCCAATCACAAAAAATTTATACAAAAACGAAATTAAAAGAATTGAAAAGCTATTTTACTGACTTAGCTGATGAAAAATTCACCATTTTAGAATTTTTACAATTAATGAGTTACAATGTAGTTAAAAAAAGGATTGAATTTATTAAATTTTTTTTGTCGAAGAGAAGAACTTGAAGAAATTGTATAACATCAAAATATTACAATTTTTAATCATATAAATATAAATTGTGCTGCCGGATCAAAAAAGGGCACATACATTTTTTTCGCATGAAAACGGAGTCCTCTGGACACTAAAAATTCAACTTCAAAATTTTATTTTTTTTTTAAAAAGGAAATTTTCATTGTTTTTTTGACTTTAACTCGCGACAGCTCAGACAATTTTACGAATTTTTTAATGAAACAAAAATAAAAATACGTGTTATTATATTCTACGAGTGACTGAAAAAGAAAAAAGTTGTTTTAATTAATAAAAAAGAAGTTATTAATTTTTTATTGAGACATTTGCAAAATTCGTGAAATGCAATTTTCTGAATAAAAAATTAATAAATTTTTTATTTTTAATCAAAATAATTTTTTTCTTTTTTAGTCACTCGTAGAATATAATAACACATATTTTTGTTTTTGTTTCATTAAAAAATTCGTAAAATTGTCGGAGCTTTCGCGGGTTGAAAACAAAAAACAATGAAAATTTTCTTTTAAAAAAAAACAATTTTTTGCGGAAAAAATTTATGTGCTCTTCTTTGATCCGACAGCTCAAATGTTGACAATTTACGTGAATACGTCGATATTGCTAATAGTGATAAATGGAGTCACAAGAAGCAATATTTAGAAAACTCCTTATCTTTTATCCCAGTACAGGAAAATGATGTAGTAACATCGGCAATAATAGTTGACAGAGATTTTTTCACATATTAACGCAAATTCATGTTTTTCTTATTGACATATCCTCACAAACAATCGCTTCCGACATTGGCAGCATTCAATTAATATCTTGCAGCGAGATGCTCAATTTTCCCTACTTTTCTTTCAGTACGGCAGTCTATTTAGTCCTTTTTAGACATATTAAATTCATCCAAATATCAACAGTGGAAACAATTTAATGTTGGGTTTTTTTTTAGGTATTTTCAAGATTCTTATATATATATATATATATATATATATATATATATATATATATGTGTGTGTGTGTGTGTGTGTGACGCGTCGCCAAGAAAGGGACCTAAGCGTCCAGGAGTTTCAGGTTATGTTTGCCATATTTGAAAAGAAAATATACAAATTGGATCAATTTTCAATATTAACCATTAATGCTTATCTCTTCATTATATCGAAAATATTTATTAAAAACTGCTTTTACTGTTACACAATTAAAAATAAAAGATTTAATCAATATGAAACTGACACAAACTTAACCTACAATTCTTGGACACTTAGGTCCCTTTCTTGGCGACGCGTCACATATATATATATATATATATATTGAAAAAAAATGAAAATCCAAAATTATGGCTTCTTCTTTCCTGGTGATGAGATTTTTTTGTTAAATGTGAAAAATCTTTTTCTTGTTGCATTTTTCGTTTGCAAGTTTTGTGTTTTTTTAAAAATTATGGCAGATCATTTATATGATCGACTGGATCAAAATAATGTAAACAGACGAGAACCAAAATTCGATTATTATTCTCATAATAAATATTTTTACATAACAAATACGAAGAAAAATGGAATAACTTGAGTATAAAATAAAAATTTCGCCATATTGTTTGAATCTGATTGTGAATATGTGAAAAATTGTATTTTTTTTATCATCACATAATAAATTGCGAATTTTAACAATTTTATTTTTGAATCAATTTTTTTTCTGTAAAAAAAGTTTAATAAAACGATTTAATCTGAATAATTTATTCGCTTTTTAATAATTGCTAAACAAAAAATAGAATTTTAATTAATATTAAATAATTGTTTTAAAATTAATTAATTGAAATTTAATAAAATTATTCCTTTTAATAATTATTTTTGTATAGAACAATAATATTATTTTATTCAGGGTTTTACTAATTTATTGATTTTCATTTTATATATATATTTATTAATAAAAGAAATTGAAACTTGATCAGTGATTTTTCTTCGTCTTTAAATCCATTTCAAAACATACACGAAGATCAATCAAATTCAGTTTGACACAATCCAAAGGGTATATCAACCCCCCTTAACTTTTGTCATTCAGTGTTCTTCTTTCTAGAAAGAAATTTTTTATGAACAGATAATTAATATCCCTCTCAATTTCCTTTAAATCTTTCTATTATCTGTAACAACGGTCAGGTGCAAACACGTGAATAAAGAGAGATCAGAGAATTTGTTAAATTTAAACAATTTATTTTTATAAAACATATTTAAATCGCTTCAAAAAATGTAAGTACAAAAAAAAATTAAATTATTATTAAAAATTCATTTTAATTATTTTAACAAATTGTAATTATTTTATTTAATTTATGTCCCACGTGTTTCTTATCATTAGTCATAATTTACATTTTATCGAATTTTATTTGTCCTAATTAGTTTTAAGCCGAATTTTTATTTGTTCGAAATAGCATTTGGCATAATTTACATCAAAGCGATTTTCTATATTAAAGAATTTTTATATAACGGAAAATTCAACTCACATTATGAATGTATTCATTACAAGGCAGGTACTTGCCCTGCTCGTGGAATAGAGAAGAATGGCACTTTTAATTTAAAAAAAGAACATACGCACGAAAAAAATGAGGGTGAAATTGAAGAGCGTAAATTTAAGCAGGAGTTATGTAAACGTGCCATGACAGAAAATTTAACTCCTAAACAAATTTATGATTCTTCACGTTTAAGGTAATATTTCTTGTTTACTAAACAAACTTGGTACATATTTTTTCAAGAAGTTTTATAATTTCATTATTATAATAATAACAATTCATAGTTTTAAACACAATTTTTACTCCAAAAAAATCTTGTTTACAAAAATATTTATTTATTAGAATTCTTATTAAATAGAATTTCGTATGAGTCGAATTTTTATATGCCAGAATTTTCATTAAACTAAATCTTCATTAATTTTTTTAACTTTTTTTACCCGACAAAATAAATTTGAACACAATATGAGAAAACCGCTCGAGATGGGACGCATGATTATGTTCTAAAAGTCATTAGTCATAATTTACATTTTATCGAATTTTATTTGTCCTAATTAGTTTTGGTGCCGAATTTTTATTTGTTCGAAATAGTATTTTGCATAATTTTCATCAAAGCGATTTTCTATATTACAGAATTTTTATATAACCGAAAATTCAATTCACAGAATTTTTATTTGTCAGAATTTTCATTTAACATAATAGACATTTTAAAGAATCAAACAATCGACAGAAAGATTTCGGAGCGATTTTTAAAATCAACCAATCACAATTTTATTATGTTAAATGAAAATTCGAGCAAAAAAAATTCTGACAAATAAATATTAGAAAAAATAAAAATGCTGTGAAGTGAATTTTCGGTTATATAAAAATTCTGTAATATAGAAAATTATGCAAAATACTATTTCGAACAAATGATTTTTAGAACATAATCATGCGCCCCGATTAACTACTGTTAAACTTGATCAATATTAATTACTCCTTTTTTTTGAGAAATCCTCAAACAGCTGTGAATGTTACATTTAATTCGATGAAAAGCAATTTATACAAATGGAAACTACGAACTTTGCCTTCCTTGCCTCCAATTCCGAAATCTGTTCAGAATTTTGTAGAAATAATAAATTCGCCCGA